TCCCCGCGGGGCAACCCAGGAGCGCTGAGGCTGGGAAACGAACTCCGGTCCACCACCAGTTCCCACACTGCGGAGTACTACGCGGCCAGGAAGAAGGATACGCTGGGTCTCACGCGCTGCCCCGGGTCCCCGAGGCCCACAGTAGCTCTGAGACAGCAGTGGCGTTGGCGGCCCTGGGGTCCCACCCCTCCGAGGGGAGACCCCGCGCATGCCCAGGCCTCCCACACTGGGGTGGTGCTGGGGCAGGGGACACACCAGCCGCCTCCTCTTTCTCCCTCCAGCCTGGGGTTTGCGTGCAGCGCTTGGGCTGGGCTCCACCCCAGCCCTTGTTTTTGGAGAAAAAAAAAGCCTTTGAAAGTGGGTCTTCTGATGTCACTAGCCTAGCCCGGTGGGGTCCCCCGTCGGGGTTCTCCTGCCTCAGCCTGCAGGGCAGCGGAGTGCGCGCTCATTTCTAAGTCGTGGAAGGGGCGCTCTGCTCCCGAACGTGCTGTAGGTGCGTGCGCCGGAATAGGGTCTTAGCTGAGGCGCTAGGCCAAGTCCCGCCACGCTGCGTGCTGCTGAAAGGAGGGCAGGAGGGAACGGACGCTCGGAGGGCCGCATGGGCAGCTGCAGGGCGAAGCTGGGGCTGCCCTCCCGGGCCGGCGGGCTCGGCTCCGGGTCCCCCGCTGAAGAACAGAGCTGGGGCAGAGGCTGAGGGCGTGTAGCTGTGTCCACCCTCCGGGCTCCTCTGCCAGCGGCCCCGACCTGCCCCTTCTCCTGGTCACTGAACCGTGCTTCAGTCGCCGGGAGCCTGCAGGCGCCCTCACAGCACAACGCCTTCATGGCCTTTGGGCGCCTACCCGGAAGTGTACGCGCAGTCCACAACGGAGCACTACACAGCCAGGAAAAAGGATGCGAGGGACGACTTCTGCCGCCTGCCTGGACGCTGAGATCAAGCTGCACTGAATGGAGAACAACGACTGCGATGGTGTGTGCAGGTGTCACCCCGCACTCCAACGCGGCCTGCCGCTCCTACGCCTCAGGAACTGTTCACGTGACCTGCACCTCCCAGGACAGAAGTTGGAG